TTACGATTGACTAAATTGTCCAATCTGAAGGGATAAAGACAAAAGTCAAATGAAAAGAAAAACTTTCACTTAAATTGTTGGAAACTTTTGTTTCTACTTTGATCTCAATCAAACAACAATTAACAATTAATAACAATAATTAAAGAAAACTGTTAAAGTGTAACAAAAAAAGTTCTAATCCTTTTCTCAAGATGATAATCTTAATCTTCCCTCTGATTATGAGTTACGATCAACTAATCAACTCCCACAATCAACACGATTAACACTTTTCGCTTAAATTTTGATCAATCGATATGTTATCGAGTTGAAATAATTTGGTTCTAATGCTTTGGAAGTTTATTTTTAGTTTTTCTTTGTTGAGATAAATGAACTCGAATCAGGAAATGATAATGATAATGTTAACAGCTGATAATCAGGTAAGATTAACATTGGAAAATGATAAAACAAAAGCTCTTGACCCATCGGACTGACCATTGGAAAAGTTATCTTACCTTGTTTATTGTTTGTCTCTGGTTGATTACGATGACTAGACTACTTTAAAGATGATGATGACGATTAGTTAATTGGCCTTTATCACCTTGAAATCGTTTACGATAACAACACAAACATTGATTGTCCATTAGTCCAATCGATGAATGGACTTGATTACCAATTGCTTCAAGCACAAATCTAACCTTGACCATTGGTCAAGTAACCTAGTCAGGAAAAAGAGAAAGTTTCAATTTTATCTTTAATTGTTTCAACTTGAGTAACAAACAGAGAATCAAATTAACCAATTGGTTAATCATAATACTTTTTATTATTATTATCGAAATCATAAAAATCCAAGATTAAGAAATCACTTCAATCCTAATCAACCAATTGATGGCTTAATTGTTCACAATTTGCAACGATTAACTTAATCACTTGAAAATTTTTATCACCAAAGTGAATAATTTAAATCCATCAATACAAAACCTTTAATGATGATTTAAAGCTAATCATCAGTCGCAATTAGCTTATAATGATAAGGATATTGAGTAGATTGAAACTTGAAACTAAATTAAATTAGATTACAGGTAAAGCATTACAATTAACTGTAATCAACTTTTGAGTTCACAGATTAACATGATCATTAACACGACTCATTCATTAACAAAAAGTGTAAATTGTTATTAAAGTTAATTAAAAGTTTAGGTTAACACTTTTAACTATCATTTAGTTTTACATTTAATTGTATCTTTGTTCATACATTTTATTGTTAGAAAAAGGTATCAACAGGTAACAGAGAAAGAGAGAGAGAGAGAGAGATTAGAATGACCATGAGACTGACCAGTAGATGAGGAAGACAAGAAAGATGAAAGGTTAACAAAGTATCGACATGATTGATGAAGGTAAAGGTAAATGAGTAAAAGAAAAGGGTTAAAGGTGAGAAAGAGAAGAGAAATTTTCTGAAAAATAACTCGAAAGGCGCTACTGTCTATGGTCAGTCTTATGTCCATTCCAATGGTCATTCTGATCTTTCCTCTTCCTTATCATCGTCATCATTATCTATGATTATTATAACCTCATTTTTGGCCTAATTTTGGTCAATTTTTCTTTCATCAAGGTAACAATTATTATCAACGATAATTTTTACATATTTTACATTAACTTTTTTTCAATGTCTTTTAGCACATCGTTAAAAATTTACTCTTGGGTGCAAAGATAAATGACCATCGGTCATTTTGTATCATTAACTTAAAGAAGATAGAAAAAAGGTAAACTTGAGAAAGTAATTAAGTTAATTACTCGATGATTTATAATGACAATAACTTATATCGTAACAATTTTAAATTTAACTCGTGAATAAATTGTAACAGTTTTTTTGCTCCAATTTCAATACAAATTTGATGTTAATTGTTATGTAACAATTAACTTATTACCTCTATGAGCTAACTGTTAGTATCAAGTAATAAAATTAGCTACTCGTTATCGTTCGATTGTTATAGATTAATAAGAATAGTCGGAGAAGAGAATTTTTTTCGAAAATGACCTTAGGCTATTATTAGAAATGAAGGTAAAGCCTGGAAGCCGTAATGTGGTTTACTGGGTAACCTTTCAAACTTATTGACAGTTTCATGGGTTTATTAACCTTCTAGGAAGGAGGAAGATGAAAATGATGCTCATCATCATCATCATCTTCATGATGAGTTGATGATCAAGATGAAGATGAGAAGAAGATGAAGATAAGGATGAAAAGGAGGAGGATGATGAAGATGAAGATGATGATGATAAGTAGCATGGATACTTTGATGATGATCCGTCAGCGGCAAATCAAATTGGTAAACTGTTATTCGTATTCTTGATTAGTTTTCATCTTTTAACCTCCATCACCTTTACAATTGCTTTTCTTAGGTAAATTTATTCAATCAAATTGACCTCAATTAACCTTTCCAAACAATTAAATTATTTTCCGATCATTAAATTATCAATGATACCGTTTTTCATGATCATCTTATTCCCGTTCATTTTTTACCTTTCCGACATCAACTTGAAATCTTCTTGTAACTTTTACTTGACCATTTACTTGGAGATCAACTGACCACCAATGAAGTAAACGAGTTGAGGTCAGTTTTTTTTTCAAACTGAAAAAAAAACAAGAATAATTGTTAGATTATTATTACACATTGATCGTTTACGTGATTAACTTAATCATTGTAATCAACTGAATTGTTACAGTGGAAATTGATTATTTGAAAACTTCAATTATCTTGTTTGGAGTAAGTTATATGTGTGTAATTTTAAATTGTCACCGTCGCAATCAACTCATCACTAATAATCACCGATAATCAATTGTAACAATTTACTACTTGTGTTGGAAATTTGGGAAAGTGTTAATCATTACAAAGTAAATTAGGTTGGTCTCATCACGATTAAACCAGTTGAACACAATTAACCATCACTTTTAATGATAATCCTTTCCTAATATTTGTAACAATTACAATTGATTTAGTGTTGATCACAATTAACCTTGTCAAAGGAGATAGAGAGTTTGATATAATAATAATAACTATTGTTATTGATATTTACCTTGACTGTCATGCAATCAAATTATGGTTATAACCTATTGATTAAGTGTAAATTTAATCAATCACAAGAATTAGTTTAATTACCTGTGAAAATTAAATCAGTAAATTGTTCAATTAGACAGAAAGTCAAAGATAAACAAAAGGGAAAGTTAGATAACAATTAGTAAAGGAAAACAAAAGTTGATCAATTGCAATCAAACAATTACAGTTTCTCGTGCAAGTCAATTGCAACCCGATTGATTGATTACCAACAATTTACTAATCACTAGAAAAGTTGATTATGCAAAAAAAACGTAACAATTTGAATTTTGGAAGAAGAAGAAAAAATTAATCTCCTGATCCTTATTCTTAATCTAGTTGATAATCAGTGTCAAGAAATTGACTCAATCAATCAAAAATTAGTCTTAATCCAATTTTCAGCTGAATGAAAATTGCTTAATCATTTGAAATTTAAATGAACCAACAACAATTGAGATTATTAACTTGGTTTCCCAATGGAAATTAATTATCTTTGGGTTAATCCAAGCACCAAGATATTTATCTTAATCCTGATAAATGGAAGCTGATATTGACCAAACAACTCCTACAACAAGGTAAAAGTTTGACACACTGACCCTTATCTGAGATGGTCACTCACTCACCTTTGGATGAATCAACTTGACATAATGTCCAGTACGTGTAGATGACCAGAAGGGGAAAGTTAAATCAATGATAATGAACGAAAAAGACAATAGACTTTTTTTTAGATACATAAGAAAATCGAACCTGTCGGAAAAGTGACCTTTCCATCTCTTTCTTTTTCCTTTTCTTTTCTCGATGACCTTTACCTTTCTCTCTCATTACACTTGACCATTTCCTTTATTAATGTCCATCCAACCGATTCGAAAGATCTTCACATTTAAGAGCGAACTCATTGACACAGGAAGAACTCGAACTTCTAATTGTTGTGGTCAGCGGATAATGATTAAGATTAAGGAAACAATTATCTTGACCTAAGATCTCATGGTTTGCACTTCCAATTAAAATCATTTCCTTGAAGAAAAAAAAAATTCTTAGAACTTTTTTCTTGCAAAGTCGGCCCGAGATCGTCAATGATACACTCGCACAAACACAGCACATAAAAAGACCGATGGTCAGTGTTAATTGTCGAAGTACCAACGTAACAATTAAGCTACTTCTTAATCATCATCGAAAGCGTAAAACCATAACCATCAATGGAACTGTATTGTCATTTCTTAATTGTTAAGGTAATCATAATGACGTAAAAGTAAATCAAACGATGACAAGTCTAATGATTGACCAATACACTGGCCGATTCCTTAGATTTATTTCCTTAATGGATTAACCATGTTTTCCCTTAAGATAATTGTTAACGATTTTAACGATCTCTAACTAATCATGATAACCCGATGGAAAAGACCAATTAACTAATACGATGGTCATTCAAAAGGTAACTTCTTAGTAATCGCTCTCGTAGTCCTAGTGGTCATCTTCATCTTCATCTTCATCCTCATCTTATCTAAACTCACTGACCAGCTACTGGACAAGATAAACAACGAAAAAGAAAATCTTTTCAAATTTTTGTCTCTCAAATCATCTAATCACTTTGCTCTTCCTGATTATCAGTTTGTTAACAATTTAAAAGTTGATTATGATGATCATCATGAAGATGAGCAGTGATCATCAGTTGAAATTGAAACAATTAACTAACCTTATAAACTAAACTAAACTAAACTAAACTGTAACTAAATGTTTAATTATCATCTTCATCTTCATCTTCATCATCATCATCAAGTGTATTAGTGACCATTGGGATAGTTAATCTTAATCTTGACCAAAGGAAAAATTATCAGCCATTTACAAGAGTGTTAACAAAATTAACAAGGGTCAGTTAATAAACTAATGGTCAAGATACCAAATTGTTGTTGACAGAAAAAAATTGAATAATGATTAAAATTGCAAATTTAATTTAATTGGATTTAAATAATTATAATTGTAATGATATTTACAAGATTGATAATAATACAAGATTTAAGTAATTGAAAAAGTTGCTGATAACCAAAGAGATGGTCAAGTAAACAGTTGATGGTCATCTCAGAGTTAATCATGAAGATAATGAATGGTAACAATTTAAATTTGATTCGGTACTTTTTTTGGTGTTTAAAGGATTAAAATTGATTATCCTTTTGTTTTTGCCCTTCAACCGATGGTCACTTTGATGGTATAAATTGATGGACACTCGATGATATGTTCGGCCAGTGGTCAGTCAACAATCATAATTTTCTTTCAACATCTTAACTAAAGCATCAATATATTCTTGGGCCATTTGAAGTGTCTCATATTTAGATAACTTTCTACAACCTGAATTGTCCAACGAAGGAACAACTGACCTCAACATATCGAAGGCCACATTCAGAGACTTCATCCGTTTCCGTTCACGAGCATTGGCCGCTTGTCGACGTTTCTTCATAGTCGTTACTGGAACTTGTTTATGTTGACACTTTTTCATCATGTAACATGAAAGTTTTTCATTCTCACCTGAAAGATTATCAAGAAAAGAAAAGAGAGATCAACAATTAGCTAATTGTTCTGATTGATTTGAGTTTTTTGCCCATTGAGAAAAAAACTATTGATGTCTAATTGATTTCTTACCTTTAATTGTTGTTGTCGTTGTTGTTGATGATGGTGAAAGTGATGAGGTTGGTGATAGTGAGGATGATGATGAGTGTCCAGTTGTTGTTGTCGGTGGTGATGATGAATTGAATGAAGTTGAAAATGATGAGAATGTTGAAAAAGTTGATGTAATTGTTGCTGATGATGAGGATGAACAATCATTTAGCCAACAAGTTAACTCTTCACCCACTTCCATTGTTATTTATTTCCAAATTGTTTTTAACTCACAGTTAATAGACTACAAAAAGTTAGACACAGTTAATTACACTGGACAATTGGAGTGGACGAAATGGTCAAGCAACAGGTAAGTGAGAGTTTTAAAAAGTTTTAACGCAAAAGTTTCTAAACTTTCTGCTGGTCAGTAACGTTGAAAACTAACGTTAAATAGATTGAGGAAAAGAAAAGAGAAGAGAATTTTTTTTTCTTCATCTTCTAACATAGAAATCGATTTGGAAACGCCTTTTTTACCTTTCTCTGGGTTCTTATTGGATGTTACCTGAGAAAAGGTAAATTTAACTCCCAGAGGGAGCGAGGCAAAGGTAGAAAGGGCAAAAGAAGAAAGAAAGAAAGAAGAAAGAAGAGAGAGAGAGAGAAATAAAGAAAAAGAGAAGTAGATTGAGCGACATCTTTGAAGTTTCATCTTCTCTCAGGTATGAAGATGATGAAGATGATAAAGTGATGATAAAAATGGCAGATGATAGTAAATGATGCGTACATGAGCTCGCGCCCATTCAAAGATATTTCATGTTTTATTTACATTAATGACACGTGCTAATAATACGTGTTAATAAAAGGTAACATTTTTTTCATTATTATCGTATTGATATTACAATTGAATCTTGACTCACTTTTAATTTGCTTGTTACCTGGATATAAATCAATGATTGGTGATCACTTTTCATATTATTATGGTGATTATGATTAACTTTATATTGGAGAGATTTAGAAACTGGATTAAGGTGTTTGGTGATTAACTGTAATCAACTTTTGTGTTCACAGATTAACATGATCATTAACACGACTCATTCATTAGCCAAAAGTGTAAATTGTTATTAAAGTTAATTAAAAGTTTAGGTTAACACTTTTAACTATCATTTAGTTTTACATTTAATTGTATCTTTGTTCATACATTTTATTGTTAGAAAAAGGTATCAACAGGTAACAGAGAAGAGAGAGAGAGAGAGAGAATTAGAATGACCATGAGACTGACCAGTAGATGAGGAAGACAAGAAAGATGAAAGGTTAACAAAGTATCAACATGATTGATGAAGGTAAAGGTAAATGAGGAAAAGAAAAGGGTTAAAGGTGATTGAGATGAAGAGAAATTTTCTGAAAAATAACTCGAAAGGCGCTACTGTCAGTCTTATGTCCATTCCAATGGTCATCGTCCCGTTATCTTCAATCGTATTACATGTATTATGTTAGTACTTTAGTTGACCTACTAACGACCAATCTTCTTCTTTGTTGTGGTCAAGATGTACGTGTAAAAGGTGCAAGTTGATTGTCACAAGGTGTTGCCAGCGATGGTCAAGAGGAGGAAGATAAAAGAAAAAGTTATAATCAATAATTTTCATGTCCATAAATACAAAGTTTATTAACTGACCTCTTACCTTTGGTTATATCATCAAGACAAAATGTTGACAAACAAAATTTCAATAGTTATTATTTGATAACCATTATTGACCAACGGTCAAAAAAGATGCTTAGAAAAGGTCAGTTATACTTTTTGTTTATCATTATTATTTTTTTTGGTCAGTACATTGGTCAGTTTTCAAGAGTTACCATAATATTACAAAGGTATCACTTAGTAATATAATAGTTGACTGTTTATTTTTGCACTTTCGGAAAGGAAATTTTTTCTGGACATCATCAACTTGATGACCTTAGGTCAATTGGTAGTGTCCATCTTGATATTACTTGTATATTACATATAATTGACCGCAAGACTATTAAGTTAATCTAATAAGGTTCAGCTAACGATTAACTCCTACATATTTATGGTTTGTTTGACCAGAACTGACCAAAGCAAAAGGGGGTGGAAAGTTAAATAGGTGATGATAAGGTGATAAAGAGAGACAATTGTATGTAATTTGATAGACAAAGGTTAAAGTACTAAGCAAATTAACAGGTTAATGTAATAGGTGGTCAAGTATATTAAGAACGAAGCGCAAGAAGAAAAAAATCTTGACCAATATTCCAAATGAAACCTCTTGACCTTTGGGGTCAATTATTAGCATAATTGGTGGACATTAAGGAGAGTATATTAAAGTGTCAATGGTCACCTTTGTATTTACCTTTTTATACCTTTCATATATATTGTTTGTTAATGAATGAAGGAGGCGGAGGTGTTGGTCAGTTTGCGAAAGAGTGAAAAAGGTTAATGATGGTCAAGAGTTGAATGTTTACCTTTAACTTTTTAAAAAAAAAGAGAAAGAGAAAGAAATTTTTGGTTCCAATTTTGAGAGAGAAAAAAATTCTCTCTCATCATCATCATTGCTCCTTCTCCCACTACTTATCTTCCTCATCTTAATCACGTACATCACCTTGATGATTAACCCTCTAAATCTTATAATCAATTCCTCTGTCACAAGTTAATTGCAGAAAGATAATCATTTGCATATATTACATAGGAAGAAGAAGAAGAAGATAAATTGATCATCATCATCATCATCCTCTTTAATCCAAGACTCACCTTGTTACCCAAAAGTGTCCAATCAGAAACCAGGGGAAGGTAAAAAGAAGGCGTTTCTACAGGTAAACTTACCTGCGGAGGAAAATGTTATTAAATTAACAACAGTTTCTTTGTATCTTTACCCATGATAACTTGTTGATTGTTGTTATATTTTATCATCATTATTATTTGTTTACTTTAAAAGTTTGAAAAATCAATTAAGTGAATCACAATTAAAGTCTATTTTAATTTAATTGCTGTAAAAGGATAATAATTGTTCAATAATTAGTAATCAAAATGATGGAAGTGGATAATAATGAATCTACCTGTTGGTTTAGTATTGATGATGATGAATGTTCATCTAATTCAGCTAAAATCTCATCAACATTATCAACACTTTCATCATTAATTAATGCAGCGACATCAACAGCAACTTCATCATCATCACTATCTTCATCTTCATCTTCATCCTCATCACCCTCACCAACAACAACAACAATAAACATGAAAGGTAAATCAAATAATCATTTGGATTTTTTTCAAAGTTTTCGTATGAAAATTAAAGTTGAATTGAATTCAAGAACTAATCAGTTAATTGTTTATCTTTCTTTCAGGTGAGAATGAAAAACTTTCATGTTACATGATGAAAAAGTGTCAACATAAACAAGTTCCAGTAACGACCATGAAGAAACGCCGACAAGCGGCCAATGCTCGTGAACGGAAACGGATGAAGTCCCTTAATGTGGCCTTTAATGAGCTTCGTTCGGTTATACCTCCGACCGGTGATAGGAAATTATCAAAATTTGAAATTCTACAAATGGCTCAAAAGTATATCAACATATTATGCGATCTGTTGAGAGATTAATTGTCCAGCTAATTAACTTAATTACGTGTTACCTTAAATTAAATCTGAATACAAATTCAATTTTTGTAAAGAGTAAAAAATTAACCAATCAACTTTTCGTTGTATTAAATAAATTTGTATAAACTTATATTTAATCATCATCATAATGTAATTATTATCAATCATTAATCAATATATTACAATTACACTGATTAAATTAAATAATTGTGGTCAAGCAATTTTGACAATCAACTGATTTTTCATTTTTTTGTTTAACTCGTTGAAAACTTTTACGGTAAATTGGTGTTAACGTGATTGTTATTTGAATCTCAAGTGTCCATTTATTTACCTGGAGAAAAGTTATTTTTACTGATGAATGGTCATTGTTGTGGTGGACATTGTGTCCATCTTAATGGTGATAATGATGATATTGTTTACTCATTGTTCACCTTTGTCATCCTCCCACTACCCCACCTTTGTACAAAGGTGAAACTAGGGATGAGAAGACCATTAGTTGACCAGTTTTAAATTACAGGTAAACAAAAGGTGATGGATACTTAGAACTGACCATTGGATAATTTTAATAAGGTGCTAATTCAAAATCTAATTGGTATTTCCATTGAGAATTTGGGAGTCAAAAAGGTCAATAAGGTTAGAACTTTTTTCTTTGTCCAGTTTTCTGTTCGTTTCTACAATAAAAAACTGACCTTTAACGAGACTTTAAATATCTTTCTCATGGTCATCTCATCATCTATTTACGGTACTCTATCAAATTACATACAATTCTAGCTTGACCAGCCCCACCCGCCTTCACCTTAATAATAATACTTTGACCTGGTCCCTTTTGGTAAACAATAATAGACAAACTGTAAATCACCAACCTACCAAATAGTAGGGCAGAGTTTAAGATAATCGCTTAAACTTTTATTAGATTATCACTTTTTCTCACTATTAACATTGAGTACTGACCTATGGTCAAGCTATAATGATCATCACCATAGTGGAAGTAAAAAAAAACTATAACAAATAATAGAGTATAAATAATTATCATCATTAGGAAAAAAGATTCAAGATATTCATGAATTCATGGCAAAAATTATCATCAAATACTTGATGGATACTTGTAGATATTTTTAGGGGTCATTTGGTCAGTAGGTCAGTTAAAACTTTCCCTTCAATTAATTAGGAGAGTTTCTAATTGTTGAGGAACAAAAATCTGGATAAAAAACAATGTTTACTAATTACTACACTAATTAACTCTTAAAACATTGAACAGAAACAACAATTGACCCAAAGATGAAACCACCTTTGTACAATTGGTCAGCGCGTGACTCACCACTGACCACTTTCACTGTCCACGCATCATCTGTTTACATCTGTCCCTTCAATTAATATCATTCCTCATCATAATTTATATGCAAATCAACAGGTAAATTTAAGTGATAATATCTTGCTGACCCAAAGTCACCTGACCAAAGGGTCAACCTTTCCCTCCACTGGTCACTACAATTATTTAGCAAAATTTTACCGCCAAAAAAGTGAAACTTTTACAAATTTAAATGAAGAAATGAAAATTCAATTCCCAATCATTAATTTCACTTATTAACTGGTGTTAATTAAGTTTAACAATTAACTTTGACAGTTAACTTTTTATCCACTTGTAATCCAAAGTTTAATTAACATTTTCATCTCCTACAATTTCAAGGTAACAATTAATTGTCTATACTTTTTGATTGAATGAATTATCTGTACGTGATTTGAATTGTTACCTTAATTGTTACTTTGATTGTTACTAACTCTCAGACTATAATTTACCAAATTAATTGTTAATCAAATTTATCTTGGGAACCACAATCAATAGACCATAAATACTACAGTGATTTAAGTATCATTATCTTGATTAATTACAATTAGAAATCATTTTTTCCATAACCTTAGTTAACAATTAATTCATTATTAACAAACTGTTTACAAAGTTAATTATCATTTCAAATGAAATATCAATGATTATGATCACTGATTTTAATCATCATCAACAATTAACAGTTTGAATATTTGATTATCAGAGTTAACATTTAAATGATTAAATCTTTTACATTTGATTGTTGTTAATTGATTATGTCAATTTAGCTTTGTATTTACCTGTGGATTGAGTTAATTGTAATTAGTAATTTAATATTCAATTGTAAATGATAATCAAAGGTAAACAATTGTATCTATTGATTGTAAATTGTGATTATAAGTAAACCAATTGATGGACATTGACCATTGTCCAGTATGACATTTGATCATTTATCCTTTTTGATTGTTTTGTTTTTATCATTTATCTTATTTTTTCAAATAATATGTTAATCTTGTTGATACATCAATCGCTGGACATTGGTCATTTACACGGAAAAAAAAGATTGGACAACAAACAGAAACACAACACAAAAACTTGCAGTGGTCAGTTTACAGTTTTGTCTCAATGTCCAGTTGATATTTTATATAATAGAAAGAGAGAGAAAGAAACAAAAAGAGTTGAAGATGAAACTAAAAGATAATCAGTTGTCATTTCATTATCATCATCATCATCATCATCACAATTGTCACTCTTTATCATGGTCATTGTTGTTCATTGTATCAAATGACCATCGGAAAAAAATGACCATTCAACTTGACCCAGTTAAGTATTTACATATAATATCAATGGTCAAGAAAAAAAACTTGAAACGGATAAAAATCAAGAGTTTAAGTTAAACAAAAAAACGACTAATCAACTTTTACATTTGACCTTTTGGATAACTTAAATGTACACACTGACCACTACATTTGGACAATTAGGTTTGTGAAAAAGGCTTCGAGGTCAATACTTTGTAATGGTCATCGAAATGATAATTTATAAAAAAAATTGTTTTTTCTTTTTAATTTTCTTTTCATCTTCAATGTCCAGTTTTTTGTCCACACTCACACTTACTCAGAACACCTCACTGACCTCTGGTCAAGCTTAAGGTGAAATGATCAATCGTCTTGGGTGACGTTCTGTTTCCCTTGTTAATTAATTACTAAATCACGATTTACCTTTCAAATGAGTTAACAATTAAATCTCAATTTTGACAAATGATCCCAATTGATTAGCTATTACAATGAATCGATAATAAAACAATCAGTTGATTTTCATTTGTTTTTGGTTAACTTGTTATTCAATGATTAACATTTAGTGCCTTTGATATTATTTTAATGGTCAATTTGTTGAATGAAAAGAAATGGAAGTTTCTTTTTTTCTGACCATTGGTCATCTAGATTATTGTTCTTGTTGTTATAATGGCCACTGTAATTAGTAGCATAGAGATATTGGCCATACGAATTGCTTTGGAAAATTTGTTCTAATTTCGAGTCAATTATTACCAATGATTAGGTCTAGAAATGGCCTGCAGAGTTTACGAGTCGTGGTCAAGTAGATGGACGTTGGTCAGTTGTTAATGAAGAGATTCATTGAAAAAGGTAGAGATGGTCAAGAGGTCATAAAAATTATTACAATTCATTTAATCATTAGCATCATCATCATCTGATCTCAAACAGTGATAGACAAAGTGACCAAGGCCAAGGTCATTGACGATGACCACAGGTAGTTGAATACATATATAAAACTGACCAGTTAGAGGTAAAAGAAAGAGAAAAAGACAGAGACGAAACTTTCTCTTTCTAAATATGAAAGATGATAATTTGTTTCAGCAAGAAAATATGATGAATTACCAATGACCAGTGGTCAGTATTAAAAAAAAATTCTACAATTTTTCCCTCTTTCTCATTCTCTCTCTCTCTCTCACTCCAAACTAAATCATAATTCACTTTTCTTTCAGTTGTGTTGAACTGACCACAAGAAGGAGGTCAAGTTTATCTTAATTCATCTTCACTTTCATCTTTTCTCTTCCGTTTTCTTTCATCATCATCAATCCTTTTCTTACCCTTTCTCTCATCCTTATCTTTCTAATGGTCAAATGTCCATTTACTTTTCTTCTCTTCCTCATTACTGACCATTTACATCGTATCCACTTTCCTCCACCCACCGCCCACCACAACAACAACAACAACCTTTTTAAAAGCTAATTTGAAAACCTTCAAAAAGGTAAAAGATGATAAATGATAATATTATGATAACTTTACAATCCTTTAATATTTTTTTTCTCGTTGGTCATCATCACTGACCAACAGTAGCCCAACAATTGACCATTGACCATTCAAAATTAATATCTAATATGCTCAAGTCCATTCATTTTGGAGATGAAATTTTTGTTTTCTTATTATGATTAAATTCAATCACAATGGACAACAACAATAGAGAGAGATGGTCAACAATTGAATTAAGGTCAATTGTTTGTCGGTCAACCTTTTTATTATCATCTTAATGTTATTGATCTGACACCTTGACCCTTTGCCCACTGGCCGACAACATTTTCCCTTTTTCTATTGAAAAATCATTTCTACTCTCTAATTCAAATAGGATTAGTTGATTAACGAGATGATTATGATTAACTTATTATTGTTATCATTAAATCTGATTATTATCAACATGTTGTCACAACAATGATTATACTTATCAATTTGATTATTAACCATAACTAATAATATCAATTCAATTGGTCAACTTATTATTATTATTATTATATCAATGGAACAATTTAAATTTGAAAACTTTAATTGTCTCCAAATTAATCACATGTTAAATTGACCCTTTACTTTTTTTGTATAAGTAAATATATTCATATTTTCATACTGTCCACTACATTAGTGTCCACTGTGTGTTTATAAGCTAATGATGATTATTAGAGTGACTGACCATTGGGAATATAATGATAATAGAAATGGTCAAGCTAATGGTCATCGGTAAGAAAATGTTTTCTCGTCTTCAACGAAAACAATTATTACTTAATCAAGTTGATCAGTTGGTCAATAGTAAGCAAAAAAATATGATTAATTACTTGACCATTCAAATAGTTATTATGATGACCTTTACCCTTGAAAGACACAGGTAACATTGTAATTGTTTTTTTTTCTTGTGGCCTTTACACTGACCACAACAATTGAATAACAATTTACCTGGAAATTGATGTTTATCAATCAAAGGAAAATGTGGTAAACTGTTAAAAACTGATTCTAATCATTTGATAACAAT